TAAGGGGGGGAATAAGGGAGAGTTGGAGGGGCAGGGTGGAAGGGGGATAAGGGGAGGAAATTGGGAAAACTGTAATAGCATAATCAATAAAAAATACTTAAAAAAAGAAAACTAAAACTAAAAATAAAAAAAAGAACCACAGTAGAAAACTGGGCCAAGTGTAGGAACATGCCCAGGAAAATTCATAAAAGGAATTTTTAACATATGAAGTTAGTTTAACCACAGTGAGTCCATGAAATACATGTTAAAACTATGAGGTGTCAACAATCAAGAACAGGTGTGTCAGAAAGGTAAGAGCAAAGTGTCGGGAGCAGACCCTCTGGTCCCCTGTCCCTGTGCCACCACCACTTTCCAGCTGCCTGGTCTTGGGCAAGTCATTTAACCTCTGCAGGCCTCAGTTGCCTCCTCTGTAAAGTGGGACTGTGAGTGGCAGCTACTCACAGAACAGTTGTGAGAACTGAGCAAATTCAATATAAAGTTTTCAGAACAGCAGATAGTAAGCGCTCAATAAATGTTGCTCATTCTTGTTACTGTTATCATTACCTGTTATCTGTCATATTGGAGCGGCATGAGGGACGGCACTGGGAAGAGTTGGGGGGACAGAGACGTCACACCACTGGTGAGAGAACAAGCTGGTATCTCTTTTCACAGAGAAACTTGGTCACAATTCAAATGCTTCGGAATGTAACACCTCCTTTGACCTGGCAACGTGGTCTGCGGACACTTACCAGAAGGGACAGACTGGTGCAAGCTCATCTACCAGTGTGTTCACTGTAGCACTTAAAAATATGACACCAAAAACTTGGAAGTAACGAAAATGTCCAGGGACAGGAGACCAGTTAAATAAATTATTGTGCAATACATCAGATGATGGAGTAAAGAGACATTAAAAGATAACATTTTAGGAGAGCATTTACTGACCTGGATCTATAATCCCAATATACTGCTCCAAGATAAATCTGTTTACAAAAAGTAATAAGTGTACTTTATAACCACAGTTTAAAAAAAAGAAAACTAGATGGACAGCTTCGTGGAAAAACATGAAAATGTACTGGTGACAGACCCTTTAAGTTTTCTTTTCATACTTTTCTATGTTTTCCAAAATTTTCTAAAACAAGTGCCATTTTCACGAACAGAGACATAGCACTATTCTCAAAATGAGGACTGAAGCCCCCAAGGCCTATGCTGTTGTGGTCCCTCTGCAAGTGGCCGGGTGTCTGCTGCACACACACATATCGCTGCACACTTACGTGTGTGACGGACTCTCTCACACTCACGGCTAAGAAACCTACACAGAGGAAGCAGCGTTTATGTGAGACAGACCTTGAACACCCATAAATTCAAGTTGGGGTCCTTGTCTAAAATACCACTGACCATGTATTCTCTTTTCTTTGGAGCGCCAAATCATGAAAGATCAGTGTCAAAAAGTAAGTGGAATATTCCTTTCCTTTCATAAAGTTGTTTCCCTTTTCCAAACTGTTTTCTCCAAATGTTTCCTAACTCTGATGGAGGACCGACATAATGCCTCATGACATCACGACTTTTCCTGGGGTCGCTGCCTGCCAGCCCCTGTGTGCCTTCCCCGTGTCTCCCAGGCACACCCCTGCGGGCGCGCCTTTCTGTCCCTGCCCTCGAGGTTCTCCATCTACCAAGTGCAGGCTGATCCGAACAGCTCCGGCTCCCAGCCGACAAGCAGCAGACAAAGCCTGCGCGGGCACAAGTAGGCCTCATGGCAGCCTCTTTAGAGAGGTCAGTGCACTCCACAGACGTCCCAGCAGTGGTTTGGCCAGTGAGTCCCTCCGCCCCCGCAAGTCTGGCAGCTGTTTGCGGGTCCCTGGCTGAGAGCTACGGGTTTCCTGAAGGTGTCCGTCCGCGTCCAGAGCTCACGTGGGACTGACCCAACCCAGCTCCTCTGGGGCAGGGGAACCAGGCACCCTATGGGGTTTCCAACGGAGAGGCGGTTCCCAGTGGCCCTGCTGGAGCCTGCATCCCGGCTTGTGCCCACCCCGTGCCTCCCTGGGGGTCGGGGGCGGGGCGCCTTCTCTGCAGCTCAGCTCCTCCCAGGCTGCACAGGCCAGTGCCGAGCCCCATGTCTCCACTCCAGCCTTCTGTGTGCTGCTCCACTGTACCTGCCATGACTGTTACACTGATTCTCTCTACTCGGTGATGAGTGTCACGTAGGTCCCCCCACCCCCGACAGAACTCCGTTCTGCTGGAGTCCCCAGGGAGTAAGAAAAAGAGTAAGGTGTTCTTTCCCTGAGGACCGGAAGAGTTTCTAAAGCAGTCATCTTTTATATACTCTTAATTCCCTTCTTTAGAATCCTGAGCACTATTTTCTAAGCTTTTGCTTTTGGGAAGCCACACGGGTTCTACGCTGGGTCTCTCTTGTGCTTATGGCAACACGGAGAACACCCCTGCTCTTTAGCAGCTGACACTGGTTCTCAAAGAGAAGCACCCACCTTTGTGGGGTCGCCCTGCTGAGCTTCCAGGTGGGTAGCTCACCGGGGAGCAGGTGTTTGCCAGGGGAGCAGGTGGGCCCCTGGGGGAAGGCTGGGTGGGGGGGAGACTCAGACATCAGTGGATGAGGGTGGGGGCAGGAAGGGTGCGGAGGCTGTGGTGGGGGCCTGGCCATGGACCACACGCTGCGAAGGGTCTCTCCCTTAGACGCCCCACAGAATTGGGAACGAAGTCTATGTCGGCACTAGTGCTTTTGTGTAAATGACACTATGGGGGGACAAACGGGACCTGGGGTGATAGTGGGTATTTTGGCGGCAGTTTTCCTCCACGAACCGCCCAGACTTCTTTGGGTTCCCGGTGTTAAATTTTATCACCTTTCAGCCCAGACGACTGCTTCACACAACGATCGCGTCCCTCTCTCTGCGTCACAGACCTCCTTTTCACTCTCGCGAACTGAGAACACCTGCCCTCCTGCCTGCCCTCCTTCCCCCTTTCCTCGCTCCCTCCCTCCTCTGGACACTCCTCCCAGCTCCTAAACCACAAGCCCAGAGGGGACCCTGCAGTCAGCCGCACGGTGCTGGCTGTGGGGCCGTTCTGCGCTGCACGGACACCTGTTCTCACGGGGCTGTCCTCTGGGCCCCACCAGTGGGCGTCCACCGGGAGCCAGCTCTGTGGGACTCGTGGCACTGATTTCTCCCAGGCCTCCAGCTGTTCCCCTGCGGCTCGGCACCCCCTCCAGGACCCAGGAGCGCAGTCCCCTTCTGCAAGGCTCCCACGCAGTCAGCCTGTCCTCTCCTTTCATCTGGACCCAACATGCTATCGGAGCAAGAATGGCTCCTCCCCTCCCTGGTGCGGCTTCCCGCTGCCACCCACCATCCAGGCTCCCTTCCTCCTCCTCCCCTGCAGTGACCTCTCACCCGCCCAGAAACCCTGGTTCTGCAACCCCCACCCTCCCAACTCTCCTCCTCAAGGCCCTTACAAGGTCAACGTGGGGTGTCCTTGACGGCTCCCTCTGTTCCTGCACCCCATCTTTTTTGTCTGGCTAGTTGGCACCAACACGCTCCATTTACTCCTGCCAGAATTCACACGGAGCAGATGTCCCACCAAAGCCAGAGAGCCCTGAAGCGAGGCGCGTCTGGCGCCTAAAGCCAAAGCCACATGTGAACGTCATGACCAAATGTCGATTTACAAATCTTGGTGCAGACATGGGGAAATACACCCTTACCCGTCGCTATGGGGGTGAAATGCTGTGGCCTCCATGCAAACTGGCGAGGCGGGTCCTCAGAAAGCTGAACGAAGACTTCCCTCTCGACCCAGCGGTTCCACCTCTGAAAGCGGGCTGCAAACCCTTGAACACGTGTTCACAGCAGCGCCATTCACAACATCCAGAAGGTGAAAACAAGCCAACGCCCCTTATCAGATGGACAGAAAAGTGAAATGTGGGGTATCTGTACAACGGAATAGTGTTCATTCATAGAAGGAATGAAATTCTGATGACCTCAATGAATCCTGAAGACATGTATCAAGTGAAATAGAGCAGACACAAAGGACAGAGACCGCCTGATTCCACTTACATGAATGAGGGACCCGGAACAGGAAATCCATAGAGACAGACAGCATGACAGAGGTCGCAGGGGCTGGGGAGGGGGCCAGGGGGCTCCTGTTCAATGAGAAGAGTTTGTGCGAAGCGATGAAAAGTTGTGGGGGTGGACCGTGGTGAGGGCCGCACAATATTGCATCACGGTGTCCCCTCCTTGACTCCTCCAAGGTTGTGTCACTTTCTGCGCATGGCTCATGGCTCCTACCTCCTGGGACAGTGTGCCCCCCAAAGTCCCCGGGGAAGGCAGTGACTGTCCTATGGTGGCAGGAGCAGGCTCTCTGGCCATCACTGGAGCATGAGAGCAGGTCTCGGTGAGGGGCCTACCGGAGCGACTGCCCGCCCTGCCCACAGAGGCCCCAGGGACTCTGTGTGGTGTGAGCCGCAGATGCCTGGGCAGCCCCTAGTTTCACATCCACAGACCACAGACCATAGCCCCGTGGACTTGGGCTTGGGGGTGACGGGCACTAATCCCATCACAGTCAAGGAAAATAAGCAGCATTTCAGAGCCTCCTGCCTGCTTCCAGGTGGCATCTGGAGAAGAGGTGGCTTCAGCCCTCCCCACAGGAGGGCCCTACATTCACCAGCAAGACGAGCAGGGCCAGAGGCGGCTAGCACCTTCCTGCACTTTCCCTGGAGGGACACTTGACCAGCACCGTGCATGACTCAAAGCTGCGCTCCCCAAAGCGCCCCAGTCACAACATCCAGAGTGGTCTAACCTCAGGGGGGCTGGTCTCATTGAGGAGCTCCTTCTTTTTCGCTGACCGAGACCACAGCACAGCTGGATGGAGCTGCAGGGACGGAGCTCACGTCTGGAGGCTCCTCACAGCACTCGTGCACACTGTGCTTCACCTGGGCCCGTGGGCACACTCCACACCAAGCCTGGGTGGGTGCTCTGCTGGGGGGCCTCGAACGCGAACACAGAGGGGCGGCGGGCGGGGCTTACCTTCACCCGGTCCATGCACGCTTCCATCTTGAGCTGCTCCACGGCCTTGCGGGCCTGCGAGATGCTGGTGGTGCTGTTGTTGGACATGCCCTCCTCTGGCCCACGGCCCTGAAACAGCCCGGGACACAGGGTTGCGGGTGCTGCCCCCCAAAGCCGAGGCAGAACCCTCCTCAGCGTTGCCTGCCTGTCACCCCCCAACCCCGCCGCAGGTCTGTCCAGCTGGAGCATTCTGGAGCACAGGCCCTGGGCAACAAAAGGAGTGCCCCTCCAGGTGGCCACGCTTGTGTGTGCAAACACTCTCGGCCTGGGGAGGAGGAGTAGCAGGACCCAGATGGTCCAGTCACTTTGCTGCCCCCACGACCCTAAGTAACACCTCGACATCTGTACAGCTCCATTCTTTTTAGTACTGTAACAAGCCATTCATTCCCCTAGCAGCCCAGGAAGTTGGCAACCACACTGTTTCCCGCCCTGCACCCCCACACCCAGGAGGAGGACTTGCAGGACACCCAGGAGTGCAGAACAGCTGAGTGCTCCTTTGCATCTGGGTCGGGAAGGGGCCCCAGCACCTGGGCTGACTCTCGCCTGTCTCACTTCCTCTCTGTTAGCCCCTCCTCACCTCGGCCCCACCACTGTGTCCCCTCCAGACCACGTCCTGGCTGGGTCGTCGCCCTCTGACTACAGCCTCAGACCCTCCTCTTCAGCCCCGAAGCACTGTGTCCCTCCACGCTGTCACCTCAATGACAGGGTTTGCGCGCCCCAGTGGTCACCCCCACAGGCAGCCTGAATGACAGGACCAGCACTGCTGTCACGCTGTCTTCTTGCCTTTGTCCCTAGAACCTGACACCAGTCATCCAGCTCTGTGCCGCTGCACTCACGCAGAAGGACGCTAAGTGGGGCCCGTGCCGGGGCCGCACAGCAGCCTTTGCGGGTCCTCAAAGTGGCCGGGCCACCTCCCCCGTCCCCAGTCACCCCTTACTCCTCCTAATGGGCTCAGTCTCTATCATTCCCACCACCTCTGACCTTGCATCCTGCCTACTGACCTCGCTCCCACTGAGTGGACAGACAGCCACTGAGGCAGGACCTCCTCAGCCTCCACCCCCACCCCACCCTGTGCCCACCTGGTCCTTGTGCCCACTCAGTGTGGCAGCCACTTCCCTGCACAGGGTCTGCTGCCAGCCACCCACCACCCCTCCCAACTGCTGTCCCAGCCAGCAGGGCCACCAGCCACTCCAGGGACTGAGATGTCACCCTCTCCCAGCCTGCCTCCCTGAAGCCGGCCAGAGCACTAGAGCAGTCCTCACCAAAGGGACGCTCAGGGAAGTGTGCCGGGGACTGGCAGGAAGGGGTTTCTCCCTGGCGGAGGCACAAGAGGGCAGACTCTGGCCTCGGCCCCGGCTGCCTGACTGAGTTTGGTCCTACCAACCGACCGCTGGGGACTGACCCGGGGCCAGGTCGGGACACTCAGGATACACTGACGTGGAGTCCCGCATGGGGTGGGGCCTGGGCGCTCTGCTTCTCCCTGAGACAGACTCTGTTCCTGGCAGCTGGGCCAGGCAGTGGGTGGTGGGCTGGGCGCAGCCGGAAGTGCCTCACCTGGGGCCCATTCTTCACTTGGGGGCACTGGCCCCTCCTGGCGGCTCTCCCCCCTCACCCCACTTCCCCTCCACGCCCTGGTTCCCGGTGCCTTCTCAGCACATTTAGATCTTCTTCTTCCTAAAACCACCATCACCAGTGGAGCAGAAAGCCCTCCTGCCCTGGTTCCCACTGCTGCCCAGGAAGGAGGCGGAGCAGAAACTAGTGGGGCCGGGTGACAGGCCCGGAGGGCGCTAACTGCGCCGATGTGCAGCGCCCGACAGAGGGCGCAAAGGGTCTGCTCCCCCGCCCCCGCGCCCCCCCCATCCTGCTCCACTCTTTGCCCTCAACTCGCCGACCCCTTTGCGTCACTCTTGCGGCCGTCAGTGACCGCACACTGTGTCATGGGTGTTCACGCTCCCTCTCTGTGTGCACAGTCTCTCTCTCACAGTGCGAGTGCCAGGACCCGGCCTGTGACCCACAGGGCGGCATCTGTAGGTCAAGCTTCCGGCCGATTCCGGCAGGTACTGGGGGTGGAGACCCATGTGGCCCAGGTGCCCGCATGCCCCAAAGCGCCTTGCCGAGTGTCCCAGGTACCCACAGGGCTTCAAGATCAGACGATTTTGAACTTTCCGGGGGTCCTTGATGCTGTGCCCATCCCGACGGAGGGGCTGGGTTCTGGTCCAGGGCGCATTTCTGACCGGTCCCCATTGTGGCTGCTCCGCTGCCCCCACAGAGCGGCCAGGTTCCAAATCGCCTGACTGTGCGCCTGGAGGCACCTCACAGGCCAGGCCCCACCCCCTCGGTTTTCCAGTGCAGGGACATACACGTCAGGGAGGCTCTGTAACTGAAGTCCCCAGCGCTCCTCCCCACCTGGCCACCCCTCCTCACCCGACTGGGGAGTGAGGTGTCAGAGCTCCCTGTCCCCCAGGGTGGGCAAAGCCACCCAGCTGGCAGGGGACGAGGAAGTGGACTTGCCGACTGGAGCTAAAGACGTGACCCAGTGGGAAGGTCCCTAAGCCCCCGACCGCCTGACCAGGTGCCTCTGAGTCCCACTGGAAGAGCACCCCTGCCCTCCAAGGCCATCCAGGCAGCACGCACCGCGTGACCTGGAGGTGCCTCCCTCCGTGTACATGCGTGTCTGCAGCCCACCTCGACCCCACAGGAGGAACGGGAGTGGGGCGCAGTGGAAGCAGGATGGAGCTGACCATGCGTCCTGGGCCACTCACGCCACTCACTCGAGGGGAGAGGGGAGGAGCTCTGAGTCCACGGGAGACTCTGGCGGGCTGTCCCTTGCGCACGACTCAGTGAACGCCGGGCAGCACGCTGGGTGGGGTCCCCCCAGGGCTGCCGATCTGACTTGACTCGGGCACCGTGTTTAGACTCCCCGGAGGGTGGATGGCACTGTGCCTCCTTCTCAACCACCCTCCCTAACAGGACTTATCCTCACGAGCTGTTGATACATTTTGTCTGGCAGAGGGGCTCAGTCTGTCCCCCTGGGAGATGCCTGACAGACCAGTGAGCACAGACCCCCACCCACCCCCAGCCTGAAGGGACCAACCAGCTTAGACAGAAGGGAGAGGCGGGGTGCTGGTCGACCCCCTCCGGAACAGGGCACAGCTCTTGCTCAGAGGGGCACAGAGCTTGCTTCCCCAGCCGAGGCCCCGCACTCACCAGGACGGCTCACTTCCCCTCCCCTGCTGTCCCAACGGGGGACACAGGGTCTCATGAAGGGCAATATGAGGATCCATAAGGGCCCCATCTGCTCTGCAGGTGGGGACAGGAGATGAAGGCAGCTGGTGGGAGAGGAAAGTGGCGCTGTGAGCACCAAGGCCACAGGGGAGGGGCCCCGGCAGCCCCTCGCCCCAGGCCCACACGTCACTGCTGGAAAGACACCCGCTCCCAGAGGAGTCGAGGAGTCGTCACTTCCTTACCTGCTGAGAGGCAGCACGGTGACACACCTGGGCAGGGGACAGGCTGGTAGCAGCAGCAGCTGACAGTTGTCAGAAGAGAGGCTGTTTGGGGCTCCTGCTCTGAGTCTCTGAAATCACAACCAGAAATGAGTTGGCAGGTGCGGCACCAGCCAGGTGTCCCCCAGACAGCCCCGCTCCCAGGGTGCCCTCTCCCTGTGCTCGGCAGCTGTCCCCGGTAGCCTGGGGACTCTCGTACCACAGCACAGGTGAGCGGAAGGCCGGAAGGGAGGCTCCCAGCCGGACATGGCCACCGGGCCTCACCATACCCGCCGCCCCACCCCCAGCACGCCCCGCCCACGCGCCGTCCCAGCTCCAGCCGACTCTGCCAAACAGAAACGGGTGTTTCTTTCTTATTATGAAAAGATATGACCAGTGTAGAAAACGTGAAGATCGAGACAATTAGAGCAAAGAAAGTAAAGATCGGTGACAGCACCTGGTCTGAGACAACTGTGGTTTACACGGCGATGCACACAGTTCTTGCACATTAGAGAGAACCCCGCCGCAACCCGGGGACGTTTGGAGAAGGGGGGCAGTTAGAGGGCTTCATGGTCTCTTTAAAGCTGGGGACAGGACACTCCACAGACAGGCAACAGCCTGGCTCCCCCTGCAGAAGGTTGACTTCTGGGACGGGCCACCTGGAGTCCTGCTCGAGGGGTGGCCCCCACGATGGCACTGCTTTCAGCAGGAAAGTGGGGGACAAGTTCTCCTAATGTCCAGAGCAAAAATTCACTTGCCACGCACTCCTCCGCCGCAGCTGTAAGATATGTGGGTTGGTCACAGATTTCACACACTGAGCAGACGTTTTGGAGTGTCCCCTGGAGAATGGGGGATCACGTGAGTTTGGAGGAAGGGCTCTGAAAGGGAAAGGGACCCTAATTCTGCCGACAAGCCGTACCCACTGGCAGCAGAGGACGAGCACTCGCTGCATGGGGGGGGGGGCACAAAGCAGCACTGCACCTCATGTGACAGATTTCGCACTTTCTCACAGTCACTCCAGGATGGAGATGGGTGGCCGGACCCCGAGGCGAGCAGCGGAGAATGGGGAGCTGTGTACTGCTGTCTACAGGGGCTGATGGAGACTGCGAGCCCGTGCCCACCTCTACGAGGAACACCTGCTCCTCGTGAGGCCCTCAGAACGTGGAGCCTGCCCTCAGGGAGACAGAGGCTGCTGTGCCGACAGGCCTGTCTGCCGTCGCCTGAACCGTGCGCACTGTACAGCCCGTGCTGCCAGGTCAGGCGCCTGCGCCAATGTAGCGGGCCCTGCACCCTAATGACAGAGAATGAGTGCCTGCCGGCCATCTGTCCCTCCAGCCAGACCCCTTCATCCCACCGGCAGTTACTCAGCCATCTCGCTCGGTCTGGGTGCACCCCCAACGGCAGAGCAAACCCAGTGGCCATCGGGAGTCTGGGAGCACGGCCTCTGCCCGGGAGGGTCTCCCCTGCCCTGCACAGGGCCCCCCCGCCCCACGGCGTCCCCCTCTGCTGTGGACTTCCATGCCAGCTGATCCGTGACCTGCTGGGAAAGGGCCGTCTCAGCAGACGGACCAGGCCGTGTGACTGAGACCAGGTGGTTTTGAGCTCTGGGACCAGTTTCCCAAGGCTCCAGCTGCTGGCAGCGGCATTTCACCCCCTAACATTTCCTGTTTTCAAGTACAAAATATACATTGAAATGCTTGAACTAAAAAACCTATTGAAGTGCAATTCACATGGCATAAAAGAAATCATTTTGATGTGAACAGTGAGTGGCACTCAGTACAGTTCGAGGCTGTGCCAACGCCACCTCCACCTGCTGCATGACATCCCCATCGACTCCAACAGAACCACAGCCCCGGGCAACCACCCGCCTTCGGTCTGTCTCCGTGGGTTTGCCTATCTGGACACTTCATATAAATGGATTTACAACGTGATCTTATGTGTTTGGCATATTTCACTCAGCATAGTGCTTTGGGGGTTAATTTACCTTGTAGCATGTATCAGTACTTCATGCCTTCTTATGGCTGGATTATGTTCTGTTATATGGATATACCACAATTTTTTAACCCATTTACCTCCTGATGGACACTGGGGCCGTCTCCACCTCTGGCTATGGTGGGCCCTGCTGCTGTGGACGTGACTGGATCTGCATTTGTCTGAGCACTTGGTGGAAGCTCTGTGCATCCCCACCAGCAATGTATCAGGGTTCCAGTTGTTCACATCCTCACAAACATGCTCTTTTCTGTTTTTCAAATTGTAGTCATACTAGTCTCTCTGAAGTGGGACCTCACAGTGGTTCTCATTTGCATTTGCCAGATGGATGTTGAGCATCTTTCATATGGGTGTTGCATTATTTACTTAAAAAACTGTCAACAGGAAGTTGCCGGTGGAGGACAGAAATCTTCTTTTCCTGAACCCCGTGAGTGTAGAGGCCAACTGACCCCCACTCCCCAGGGGACTCTGCATGTCCTACAAGTGAGGACATCCCCTCACAAGCCACAGCACAACCATCAGCGTCAGGAAGCTCACCCTGACACTGACGACCACCTGACCCTGAGATGCGATTCCACTTCCCAGTAATGAATGTCCTTCACCGCGAAGGATGCAGTTCAGAACACGTTGCCCGTAGTTCTCAGGTCTTAGAACAAATGTCCTTCAGTCTGGGCCCACGTCACATAGGAAACATGACACATCACGAGGAATGTGACACTCAGTTGTCACTCTCGGGCAGGGAGGCCCGGAACACGCACTGCATTCTCGTGGCCTAGCAGGTGGCACGGGCTTCAGTTTGTCCCCTTACTGATATTGTCACCACTTCATTAAGGTGGTGTCTGCCAAGCTTTTCCACTTTAAAGCTATACTTAAAAAAAACCCTCACCCAAGGAAATGCTGATTTAGTTTAGAGACGGAGGAGGGGCGGTGGGGGGATGGAGCGGGAGAGAGCGAGAAGCCGACGTGAGGGAGAGACAGGGACTGGTGGTCCCCCGCACGCGGCCCACTGGACATCAAACCCACAGCCTGGCTATGTGCCTGGGCCAGGGACGGACCCTAAAACCTTTTCGGTAAACAGGACAACATTCCAACGACCTGAGTCACCCAGCCAGGGCAAGTTATACTTTTCCATCTTGAAATCGTGGGAAGAAACTTTGAAAATCTGTAAAATTGTTCCTCGAGTTCTCAGCGCACATTGGTTCTTGAACAACACAGGCTTGAACTGAGTGGGTTCACGTACAAGCAAAGTTTTTTCAACAAATGCGCAGGTGACCCTCCGCATGCCCAGTTCCACAGCTGCGGACCGGACCAACTCAGCTGGGGATTGAGACTAATATTTCTGTGGCCAGGAATCCACGCACGAGGAGGGCTGCCCGCCTGCTCCATGCCATTCTGTAGGAAAAGCTGGATTGTCTGAAGATTTTGGCATCTGCGAGGGTCCTGTCACCAACTTCCTGTTGATGCCAAGGGATGACTTTGTTAAGTTTTGGGGGGAGTTGTACATGGATTTCGATGCGTGGGGGTATCAGGCCCTGACCTCCATCTGGTTCAGGGTCCGCGGAGTTCACTCGCTGGCTGATGTCGGCAGGGACCCGGCGCGGTTTGTCAGAGGACTATCTCGCATTGCGATCAGTACTGACTGTGATTCATCGGCTGTCCGAGGCTCACCAGCCGGGAGCCTTCGAGTGGGCCTGTCTTTCTCCTTTGTTGTCACTGTTCTCCCACCGTGGTATGCAGACAATGCTCCTGCTTTACATTCCTACCAAACCGCCATCTCCCCTGACCCCTGTCGAGCGTCTCTGCTGCCTGGGAAGCAAGCTGCCAAGCCCTCGGGCGGTCTCCAATGTGTCCAAGGAGAGGGGCCCAACTTCCCAGGCCACCTCGGGCGAAGTGCCCAGCCACTCCGGGTGTCAGTGTGATGCTAACAGATCCGAGTGTTGACTGTGTATGAAAAGGCGTTAAAATGTGCAGTGTGTACAAATGGAACAGGCGGCTCCTGTGATGGACTAAACTCCTCCCCATTCACCTGGTCAAGCCCCGAGCCCCAGCGTGACTGTATCTGGAAACAGGACTTTGATGAGTAATTAGATGCATGAGGTCATAAGGGCGGGCCCTCATCGCACAGACTGGCGTCCTGATAAGATGAGGAGACCCAGGATCCCCCTCTCCCCCGGGTCCCCGCCCCACGGTGTCCACATTAGGGGTCTGACGTGCTTTCGACGCTGCGCCCAGTCCACGAGCAATTTACCAGCTGGGAGCCATTTCTACCATAAGCAACGTCATCTGACAGCGCAGTGGACAGGTGCTGTCTCGCGTGGTTCCAGGGCATGGCAGGAGAGTGACAGCGTCCCAAAGAGGCACCCATACATCCTGACTCCCCTGTGCTCCTGTGCTGTTCTGTGACAAGTGGATTGAGACCCCAGGCTGGGAATCAGCAGACTCGAAGCTGGAGGGCAGGGTCTGTGTCAGAGATCCCAGTGCGGGGGGGTGGGTGTGGCCCCTCCGGGCTGCAAAGGGCCAGAAAATGGATTTTCCCTTTCAGCCTCCAGGAAGGACCTGGACTCTGCCAACACCTCATCTAGCCCAGTGAGACCTTCCAGAACTGCAAAACATGAATCTGTTATTTTAAACCCCTAAGTTTGTGGTGATTTGTTACAGCTGCAAATCAGGGACACAGAACTGGGTGGTGGACAAGGCCAGCCTCTCAGAGCAGGGACCAGGGCCCCGACCTGCTCCACACACCCGACACAAAGCTGGCCCTTATTCCTCCAGTCCTGTCTCAGGTCAACAACAGACATGAATTTTCCCACAGTTCCGAGTGCAGAAGTCCCAGCTCCGGCCAGGTGTGGGCGGGGCTGGTTCCTCCCAACCCTCTCTCTTTGGCTTTGCAAGTGGCCACCTTCTCTGTGTCCGCACATGGAGCCCCTCTGCGAGGGCCTGTGTCCTAGTCCCTTCCTCTGAGGACCCAAGTCAGAGTGGGTCAGGACCCAGCCACAAGACACTTCTAATTTCCTCTTTAAAGGCCTGTCTCCAAACAAGTCACATTCGGTGAAATTCTGAATTCGATGGGGTGCACAATTCAGCCCCTAACTCTGCCTTCTGA